GCGCAGCTCGCACCTGCTCGACGATGGCTCCGTGAGGTATGTCAACATGTTCGACCCTTTCGGCCCGCCTGGTGTCAGTATTTTCGGAAAGCCACCCGTCTCATCGTCAAGCCTGAAAAGACGTCAGAAAAGCAGTCTGTGAACTGGGGCAGCTTTTTGAAGGATATGGCTATTTCACTCTTGGATTCTGTGGATATAGACGGGCTACACCAAGCAGCCCGTGGTGAGGACATGTACAGGGCGCAGGTGAATGCACGTGCGATTCTTTCTTCTGGGATTGACCCGACTGAGGTTGTTCCGCCAGTGCAAAATGGTTGTTTCAGGCTGGCGTCGATGTTGCCAGCCTGCCCGCGACTTTGAGGCGCCCGGCTTTGTTTGAAAGCCACGGCGAGGCATGTTCCCAATTTGTCGAGACGAAGGCGTCCTTGCCGCCTGGGCCCGAGAAGCTGGCTGCGACACTGGAACAGCAAAACGCATCCCTGGCCTGCCCCGTGGAAGACAAGGACCCCAAGACCCTCTGGTTCTTCGACCCCGCGTTCCAGGTCCTCCGATGGTTGTCGATGCTCAGCCGCGCAAAATCCAGATGGAGCCGCTGCCCGCCACCCCTCTCCCACGTCCTCACCCTGCATCGCTTCTTATACGACAGTACTATACCTAAGAGTCTCCGAGGTCGTTTTCAGGGTAAGTTTGCGTGCGACAATATCCCGTTCATCTACTCTACCGTAAAGCTAAAGCGTTGGCGTGGAGATGCTGAGTGCCCCCCTGAAGGCCGCCGCCAATGTCGTGACTCCTCGCATTCATGTATGAGAAATATATGTAGTTTTATCGGTCTACCCTCACGGCATCTTTATCGACTGCTCGGCCGTGCACTTCGTTTCTTGTGTGATCTAGCCTGGCCAGGATGGAGCTTTGACTCATTGGAAGTTTCAGTGCCGCGTCTTGCCCGCGAGGCAAAAGTCCTGTCGCCGCCCCTCCGCTCCTTTTGCTGCTCGCGCTGTGGACGTGAGATGTCAGGCCCTGGAGTGCTCGTTGCAGACGCTGGGCAGGCGCATGAAAATATACCGATTCCCCTGATTTGGAATTGCTTGGATCGTCTCTTTCTCCGCTTGGATAAGCTATGTGCAGGGCCGTAACCGTGTTTCGTACCCGACGGTCCCATTGTCGTCTTGGTGGGCAGTGTGAGGGGCGTCTTTGGGGTCGTGTGGTCTTCTTCTTTAGCAATGTGAAGAGGGCCCGCACAGGTTTCATGAGTATGCGTTTCTTTAGGCTGGGGAACAGATGCATGGAACAAAAGAAGGGGATACCAATAGGAGGACCCCTCTCGGGTAACGTATTACATGTTGTACTTAGTGAACAAGAATGGCATTGTGATATGAAATGGAAAAACCGAAAACAAACACTCTGCACTGGAAGATCTGTCGACGATGTTGTTATTTTCGAACCGGTGTAGCCATGCTTGCTTGGGTCTGATTATGCGCAACGTGTATTCTGGCATTGTGAAGTTCAATATTGAGCCTGAACCAGCTCCTTTGGCGTGTGGTACGATGGTCGTGTCATATCTTGAAGTTGATCTACATGTATCATATACAGGCGTACGCACGCTCACGATACATAAGAATGAGGCCTTCGCAGCCACGGGCGACCCCAAACACTGCACGAAGAAATCGCCCCCACCCCTTTCTTGGCCCTCTTTCTGCGCGTGTTCTAGGACAACTCCGAGGTGAGCTTAAAGGTAGGCTGCGCCGCTGGGGCACTTATGACCTGACTATTGATAGTTGGATGGTCCTGATATGTATTGATATGTTGTTCTTCTTCCGCCTCGGCTACCGCCCCCGCCAGGTGAAACGTCGATGGGTTGATGTATTCCCTCTTGGGCCCCGTGAAGACCTTGCCCAATGTTGCTTTCACTTAGTTTCGAGGACCTGCAAACACCTTGCCCCTGGACGAGCGCATCTTTTGGCCCTTTTTGAACAAGATTTCTACAGTCTTGCCCCCACCTCCACGCCACCAGTCCCACTGAGTTCCTGGTGCAGGATGTCTTCTGGTGGGAAAGGGCACTTCGGTGGGCGCGCCTGGCACGGCAAGGGCGGGGGTGAGACGTTCGCTCCTCGCTGCAGCGGCGGGGGCACATCGAGCAGGCCCCAACAAGTCCCGCAGCAACAGTCCCAAGGAGGCATCGTGGATATGGTGGGGCAGATGAATGGGTTCATGGAACAGGCGCAGGCGCTGGGGGCCATGCGCACCCTCGGCGCGACCCTGGCCCAAGCGCAGCTGTCGCAGCAGCAGCAGCAGCAGCCCGCGAACTCAACCCAGCCTTCAGTCCAGCCGACCACGAGCCCGACCCCTCCAGCCCGCGGGATGGCCGAGGCCGCGACCACCGTCCTTGAGAGTCGGGGGCGCGACCAGCAAGGAGCTCACCCGTCAGGCGACAGCCGCCTTCGGACGACGATCGACCGCCTCTCGACGATGGTTGGTGGCGCGGCTCGCGACTCGGACACGTTCGAGGCTGCGCTGGAGGCCAGTGGTGCCTCCAAGCGCTTGCGGACGGAAATGGGCACGCTCTCCAAGACGGTGGACGCCCGGGGCCGCCAGCTTGGCGAGGTACAGAAGACCTCGGAGACGACGGCCGACGACTGCCGTGTGATTCGTGCCCTGCTCGAAGGCCGTGCTGTGCGCGAGCCCTCCTCTCCGTGGACCCCCGCTGGTGGGAATGGCGGCCGCCGCGGTGCCAAGCGGGAGGGGGGCGTTGCCGACGACGGCGAGTTCGCCCCCTTGTCATCCGACCCGCTGGCAGGCAACCTCGTGAACCAGACGATGCACATTGAGCTCGTCGGCTACCTGGGCGCGGGCAAGACCCGCTCCGACATGGCCGAGCTCACCGACTCGCTCGACAACGACACGAAGATCGCCTACGGCGAATGGTGGAGCACCGTCAAGACGTGCAAGGGAATCGCGCAGTGGCGCACAAAATTGACTTCCCTCGGTGCGACTTCGGAGCAGGTAAAAACGGCGCCCGAACCCCTTCAGCAGATTAAGTTGTCCGGAACGGGCACCCCGAAGAGCCTGGAGGCGACGACGACGGACTCAGATACCGCTACTGGGTCTACTCTTACTTCCTCACCACCGACGGGGAAGCCTACCCCTCGATCTCTACCCTCGTTCTTGCCCCTACTTGTACCGTGCGTCACATTAAGTCTGTGCGTTCTGGTGCTCTGGACAGCCTACCAAGCCGGCCTGTTCGTGGAGCTATTTCGTCAAGTCACCGAGTTTGCCTGCGAGCATGTCATGACTACGATGTTCTCTGCTCTCCCCCTAGCCTTTGGTGGTTGGGTCGCCTCGTCGATGTTCGGAGTCCAGCGGGGGGTTCGCTGGAAAGCAGGTTTTTGAGGCGGCTGCCCCGATGGCAGCAGCAGCAATTTCAGACTCTCTCGCGACGTCTGGTCCATTCCCATCGTCATTGAATGCAGGGGCGGCGTGGATCACGCGCGTTGCGGTGAGTTCAGCATGGGCGGCCGTGGCATACTCACTTCATATCTAGCAATCAGACAGCAAGAATCTTAGGTATTTACCTTTTGCATGACATTATGCTATCAGCAGTTCCGAGGTGTTTCTGAAGAAGTTGGGTGGCACTGCTCGGGGTATCGCGCCTACACCTTCCACCGCGCCGTTCTGCTCTGAGGGCCCCTAAGCTTTGAGCCCTCGATAGTCTTTTGCAGGTTGTGCCGCACTCCTTTTTCCGAGGCCTTTCGGGCGCGAGCTCCGCGAGGGCCCCTGGTCACCCGCTGGGGCCCCTGGGCCTGACTGGCTCACCTGAACCCGCGTTCTTAGGTTTGCTAGCTTGTAAATCCCTCCCTGCAGAAGTCTTGGGACGGTCTGTGTGTGTGCGTGTGTTTTCTTCGTGCTTTCATCGTGCATGTTTTTTTTCAGCTCACCTCTGCAGTCAGCGCCGTGCGACCCTTGCCCGCGCCGACCCCGGCACCGCCGCCAGCAGCTGTTCAGGTTTTGGCTAGGGCTCAAGCCCGCCACGAGCGGGCGCACACATGTGGGTCTGAACAGTTTGCTTTCCATGAGATGAGAGCTTCTCCTGGAGACAAGTTTGTTTGATTATGATTGTCAGTACGTGCATTCAGATACTCATTCAGATCTTCGTGGGGATCAACGGTGTCTCGGGGGACGTCTTGGGCCACGTGCTGAAGCTCACGGATCTAGCATATAGCACTTCAGAGTGTGTGTGTGTGTGTGTGTGTGTGTGTGTGCGTGTGTGTGTGTGTGTGTGTGTGTGTGTGTGTGTGTGTGTGTGTGTGTGTGTGTGTGTGTGTGTGTGTGTGTGTGTGTGTGTGTGCGTGCGTGCGTGCGTGCGTGTGCGTGCGTGCGTGCGTGCGTGCGTGCGTGCGTGCGTGCGTGTCTGTGTGTGCGCGCGTGTGATGTGGTGTGACGCGGTGTAGCGTGGTGGTGGTGGGTGGGGTAGTGCGGTGGTGGTGGCGGTGCGCGGTGGTGGTGCGCGTGCGTGCGTGCGTGCGTTGGTGGGTGGAAGTGGCGGTGGGTGTGCGTGCGGCGGGGCGGGGCGTGGTGCGGCGCGGTGGTGGCGGGCGGATGGGCGCTCGAGAAAGAGGCCCGCGCTCGGGCGAGAACGCCATCCTGAACGACGGAGGCAAAACACCGATCCGAAAATGATACCCACGCTGCAGCGGGAGCCCGATTCGGAACGATTCGGGAGCAAAAGTGAGGCCGGCGCCCCAGCGAGAACAGCATTTTGAAAAAAACGCAAGCGAAAACCCAACTCCCGGGAATCCTGCGTGTAAAAAAATAGTACGCGGGGGGGGGGATCGAATATTCCCAGCACGCCATCAGGGGAAGAGGGAGAGTAGTATTCATATTGAGTAATTGTGGAGGAGGAGGAGGAGGAGGAGGACGAGGAGGAGGAGGAGAGGAGGAGGAGGAGGAGGAGGAGGGGAGGAGGAGGTGGTGCCCTCCCCCCCCCCGGGGCGTCCTCCCCGCAGGACGCGGGCGGCGGTGGACTGCTGGAAGTGCTCGACCTGCCGCAGCTGCGGCCCGCCTGCGCCGTGCGTGGGCCGCACGCGGGCGCCCACCCGTGGGGGCTGGGGCACCTCGCAGTCATGCTCCCGCCCCTCCTCCTCCTTTCTTGCCCCTCCTCTTCCAGCTCCCCCCCCCTCCTCCTCCCTCCTCCTCCCTCCTCCTCCTTTTCTCCTTTTTCTCCCTCCTCCTCCTCTTCCTTCCCCTCCTCCTCCTCCTCCTTTTCTTCTCCTCCTCCTCCTCCTCCTCCTCCTCCTCCTCCTTTCTTCCTCCTCTTCCTCCTCCTCCTCGCTACTTCCTCCCCAGACATGAGATTTCTTGTTGTTTTCAATGCGCGGTCCTCGGAAGGTTTGACCCTTTCCCTGAGGCCAGTTTGTCCCGAGTGTTTTTTTGCTGTCCCAGGGTCCGGAAAGGGCCCCTGGAGGCTGAAAATGGAGAACCTTTCCGTCCTGATTTTTACTGGGCGTTGCATCCCAGAGTTCCGAGAAGTTGGAGCGGCCAGTTTTTTGCCGTTTTATGAAAAACCGGCCTTGGGGAAGTGGTCTCCTCCGGGGCCCCCATGCACCGAACAAAATTGGAGCGGCCGGACGTCTGGTCTCGAGGCTCGCCCCTTTGAGGGTCCAGAACTCTGCGGGTCCGATCGGCGCTCCCCGAGATCCGGCCGTCTTCGGGCCCTGCGGCCGTCACCCATCGCTCTGGCTCGACAGGGGCAAGATGGGGTCTAGGGCTTCCGGTTGTGATTTCTGACGATGTAGATTTTTCTCGCGACATCGGATCTCAGGGACGTGCTGTTGTGACCGGTGTCGAGCCCACGAACAAAAGCCACGGCGGACGGTGTTCGGCAGTGCTCGGCCTGTAGGGGCCTTCGCTGGTCCCGGGGACCGCCAAAAACGACCCGGGATCTGGGGAAGGGGGCAAGGACTTCCGGGACCCCGTACTCAGAAAATCCAGACTCGAGGGAACGCGTACATTGGCTAAGGCGCGTGGAATAGCGACGGGTCCCGTTTCCGGAGATAAGCGGCGGGTTCCGTCGCCGAAAAATGAGGCGGCATTGGCCTTATATGTTGGGGGGACCTTCCCCGATCTGTGGATCTGGCTACCTCGCGCCAGATCCATGGATCCCTATTCCATGCTGGCGCGCGCTTGAATGACATCGGCTGTCTGGAGAAGTCTTGACCGCGGTGTGTAATCCAGAGCCCAGTTGGCAGGGCAGCTCTGCACGCGGGGTCGCTCGCGCGCTCCCGCGTGTGCGCCTGCGCGCGCCCGTGGTCTCCCCTTCACCACCACAGCCGCTACCGCTACCACCATCGCCGCGCACGCACGCGCGCCACCGCGCGTACACAGGCACAAACACGTTTTTCGGCGCCGCGGCCCTGCCGCGCGGCCCTGCGCGCAGCGACAGGGCCGACCCCCCCCCCCCCACACGACCACACACAAGCACAAACACAAGCACAAGCACAAACACAAGCACAACACACAAGCACAAACACAAGCACAAGCACAAGCACTAACATGAACAAAACCACAAACACACTTGCAACCACGAACACACACACAAGCAAACACACAAACACAGACACAACACACAAACACCACAACACAATCACAAGCACAACCACAAGCACAGCCACACACAAGCACAAACACACAAACACAAACACAAGCAAAAACACACAAACACAAACACAAACAAAAACACACAAACACAAACACGAGCATAAACACACAAGCACACACAAGTACAAACACAAACACAATTTCACACGCAAACACAAACACGCGCACACGCACACCACGCACACGCGGCGCGCTCGGACCGCCGAGCCGGCCCCAGGATCTGGCCCGCGATGTGCGGCGGGAGCGGGCGGGCCGCCGAGAGTTTGTTCTGCGCCCGGACCCGTGCCTGGAGGGCCCTCCTCCTCCTCCTCCTCCTCCTCCTTTTCCTCCTTTGCCTCCTTTGCCTCCGTTTCCTCTGGGGCCCGACCACGGGCCGCGGTCGGACGGGGCTGGGACGAGCCCAGAGATCCGACGCTCCGAAAGACTTTGGAGCGGCCAGCTTCTGGCCGTTCTCGCCGGGCCTCGGGGGCCGTAACGAAAACGACTCAGGACGAAACACCAACCTTGGAGAAGTGGTCCAGACCTCCTTTTGGCCCACGCACCGGAGAAATCGGAGCGGCGGGATGTCTGGAAGGACAGATCCGTTCCCAGAGTATTCTGGAACGCTGTCCGAGTGTTCTGGAGCGCTCGGAGGAGGCCGCGGCGCCCGAGCCTCGCCCGAGCTCATCCTCGCCCTGGCTTCGCCTTCTGCGGGGCGGGGGCCGAGCTCGAGGGTCAGCGCCCGGGTTGGCAGAGACACAGCGTCCGATGTCCGGGGCGGCGGGGCCACTCCGCCGCCATGGGGGACCCCGCCCGGCTTCCTCGCGCCACCGGTGGCTGGTGCCGATCGTTCGGTAGGATCGACGATTGTCCATTTTGAGCAGGGTCGGGCGGAGCTAGGACGAGGATAATCCGCTCCAGAGCGTTCCAGAGCGCTACCAGAGCGTTCCGAAACGCTCTGAGAAGACCGCGGCGCCCGATGCATCCACCAGATCCGCCAGATCTCAGATATTCTCGTCCTAGCTTCGTCTTACAGGGCTCGCTTTCGGTGTCGCCGCGCACGATGCCAAGCTGGGACAAAAGAGGTCGCCTGCCCCAGAGCGGCCGCCGTCGGCTTTGGAAAGCATCTCCCGTTTGGCATCGTGCCCATTTTTCCGTACTCGTGCTGGGCGTGCCAAACTCGGGGGTGGACAGACCTCCTACCCTGACACGTCGATTAGCGAATTGGCCGTTTTCGGTTCGCGAGGGCGTCGCGGCCGTCGTTTTTGCGGGTCCAGGTCCGTCGGTTTCGGTCCTAGGCCGTTTTCACTCAAGGGTGGTCTGCTAAAGGGAGGTTTGTCCACCGCCGACAAGCCCCACACATGCGATATCCTGATCTTAGGGCATTTTGAGGCCCCCATATTCCACCACCACAACCACAACCACCACCACCACCACCACCACCACCACCATCACCACCACCACCACCACCACCACAACCACCACCACCACCACCACCACCACCACCACCACCACCACCACCACCACCACCACCACCATAAGTTGGAGGGGGAGGGGGTCCACCTCCACCTCCACCTCCTCCTCCTCCTCCTCCTCCTCCTCCTCCTCCTCCTCCTCTTCGCCCTCCTCCTCCTCCTCCTCTTCCTCCTCCTCCTCCCCTCCAATTTAGGGTGGTGGTGGTGGTGGTGGTGGTGGTGGTGGTGGTGGTGGAAACAGGTCCATCACTGGGCGTGCCAAGCCCCACACATGCGACGTCCTGATCTTAGGGCGTTTTGAGGCCCCCCTCGGCCCGAGGCGCGGCGGCGGAGGACCTCTGCTTCCTGCGCGGCTCCCCGCGGTGCCTCGCCTCCTGCGGGGCCGACGGCTCCGCGCTGCTGTGGGACCTGCGCGAGGGCGGCGGCGGCCAGGCTCCGGGGGGCTGCTAAGGCTGAAGGGCGTGTTTTCCACGGCCATTATAAGTTGGAAGGGGGGGTTCTCCTCCTCCTCCTCCTCCTCCTCGTCCTCGTCCTCGTCCTCCCCCTCCTCCTCCAATTTATGGTCCGTTGCCATTTTGGCTCAAGGTGGGGACAGGACCCAGTTGAGTGCGGCAGCTCTTTTCAGAGAGCGTTCCTGGATTCAACCCCAGGCGGTCACCTTTCAGACTCTTACTCCCCTGGCTGTGGGGCGCCTTCTCATTTTGTGAAGGATTCGTCACCTGCGCCATGTCTCTCGATGCGGCTGCCATGAAGGAGCTGCTGCAAGGCGAGTTCAAGCCCATGCAGGAGCATATCAATACCTTGGCATCGGCTATCACCGAGAACATGAAGAGTATCAAGCGCCTGGACGACAAAGTCGACGAGAAGCTGACCGACTTCGGAAGGGAGGTCGCCGAACTTCGAGAACAACTTGGGCAGGCGAACGCTCGCATGACGTCGCTCGAGATGAAGGCGGCGTTCGGCGCTGACACCATCGACGTTGACGACGACGACGACCTGGCGGGGGACCTATATGGCGAGACGCCTCGCGCTCCTCGACAGCCCTCTGTCACTGACGCACAGCTTGCTGCTCGGGTTCAGCCGTTGGAAAGCCTCGTGTCGGAGCGCTCCTCCACGGCTCAGAGCAGCGGCGCCTCGGGCGGCACGTCGCTTCGCAGCGACCCGTGCTCCACATATTCTCCTTCAGCGCGCCGCGTGCCACAGCGTACTCCTGTGAATGACGAGGGCCGCAACCGGAAGAAAATCTGGATTCGGGGTTTTCCGCGCAAGCTGATGGCATCGTCCTTTCAGGGTCACTTTCTGGTCATCAAATCGAGGATGCCAGAGGAGTACAGAGATAAGTGCAGGGCGCAGGTGCAGAATTTCCAGTTCAGTTACACCATCCAGTTTGACGGCGAGGACGACGCGCAGCTCTTCCACCAGGCTTCGCGAGCGGACCCTAGTTTGTTCACCTGGACGGACCCCCGTGAGGGCAGAGTTGTCAACCTACGTGCTGGGTGGGGCCAGCCGCTGCCGATCAGGCAGCGCTCCTTCGCTCTCGGTCAGTGCTGGCAGCTGATCATGGATGGTATGAAGCAGAAGGGCCTCTGGCAGCAGAGCATGCGATTGGGATCGAACCCGTTCGCTGGAGTGCTTCACCTGTCGAATTCTGCCACGGAGGACGTGTGGGACCTGGTGAAGATCTCTGAGAATGGGGGTGAGTCGGGTACTTTCAACATTTCGCCGCAGGACGACATGAAGGAGCTGGGCTTCGTCCAGGCCTTCATCGACGCGCTGGCGGAGCGCGTCGCCTCCATCGTTGCCAAGCAGCGCTAAGAGGCAGTCCTGCAGGAGTCGGCTACGAGCAGCTCTCGCGGGACACGTTCGACTGCTGTGCGATGTGGGCCTCCACGGGCGGGCGCGCGTGCAGTGATGGCGCGTCTCGGCTGTCCGTCCTCCCCTCCCCCGCCCTCTTCTTCGTGGTATTCCTTGTCCTCCTCTTCCTCCTGCTCGTCGTGCTCCGTAATGCAGAGAATTTCGAATTCGTGGAAAGCGCCGTTTCCCTTGACTGAGTCGTTCGGGGTTGTGTCCTGGAATTCACGAGCTATCTTGGGTTCGGTTTGCGCATGGGCGTCAGTGCCGCAAGTGCGTTCGCTTCCGAAGCCTCGTCGAAAGATACCAAGTCGTATTTGCGCAGGAGACACGTGGTACGTTCGAAGATCTGGAGACCTTGAGGCGCGACTTCCCCTCTCACTTCCACATAGGTAGCTTTTGCAGCTCCCCGAACGCTGGTGGCGTCATCACTTCCATCAGTAAGAGATTCGTTTCGATGTTCTCGGCGGTCCGCATTTCTCAAATCGCTCGAGGTCGGGTACTCTTCGTTCGGCTCCTGGGAACCGCTAGGCAGATTGTATTCGTTAATGTGCATCTCGGCCCAGCATTACCATCTGGCGGTGTCCTTCGCGTCTTGCAGCGTATGAGGCGCAGTGTACCTGACCCGTCTCACGGTCTTACCTGCCTCGGAGGCGATTGGAACTTCCCTGAGGCGGACGAGTATAGGCAGGCCATCGACGGCAGCATCACCCCCCCCCCCCCTCCCCCCGAAGATAGTATCACGTTGCAAAGGTAGGTCACGCTTTTGGGAGATTTTGCCAAAGTGCCCCAGGAAGAGGCTACTCATCGCACTTCAGTTGGTGATGTTGTCTTATCTGTTCGTCGACCTGACCGCATCTACCGGCCAGCTCCGACGGCTGAGATGCTCGACTGGCACGCGCGGTCGAATGTCATTGGGTTCGCTCACGACAGACAAGGTTGTCCAGATCGCATTCCTGTTTTTGTTCAGGTCGCTCCTGGGGCTGGGGCGCCTTCGCTGCCGCGATGGGTCACCTCTCCTTCCGATTTCCCTGATCTGGTCGAAAGCGTCTTGGGCGAGTTCGAGCTTAGTGGCGATCCTTTTGTTCGCCTTCAGGAGTGCGCGGCCGCCATGTTTGCCGCCGAAGACACTCTCACCCGCCAGCTGTATCGGAATGGGCCGACACTTGGCAGGCAACAAATTGCGGTCGCCCTTCGGTTTATGCGTGCTGCACGTGCTCATAGACCTGCTCACTTGAGTGCTTGCCTACATGCACTTCCTTTGTTTAGTATGTGCTACGACTTTCATAACATGTGTTACATAGACTACGTGGGTACGTGGGTTGCCACGAGTATCTTAGAGCTCCCAACGCGGATATGATCTCCTCCATGCCCGTGAATGATTGTACCACCGCCCATTGTCATACCGATGTTGCTCGACGGGCTAGGCTACAGGCGCTGCTGCGTTCGTGTTCTGTGAAACGGCGCAAGTTGGCCACTTTTGCAGTTGGCGGCCCGCTCGACCCCTCGTCGCCATCCATCCTGCAGCCCGCTCAGAACCTTGCCAACTATCGGGGTGATTTGCATCGTGCTCCTGCTGTCCTCTGTTCCCCCCCCCCCCCGTGTGCTTGACGAACTTGCTAGATAATACCAGCATATTTCCCTTGGGATTTCTTAGGGGCTGGAGAAATTCGAGTTCTTGTCCGTGATTAAGAACCGTAGAGACTCTGCTGCGGGCCCCGATGGGGCCCCTTATAGTGGTTGGAAGCTCGGTGGTCCTATCGCTCAGCGTTGTCTGTTCCAGGCTTATGTTGCTCTTCTTCGTGGCCATGAACCTCCCGTGGGGTTTAGCAATGGCATGCGGGTACTCTTGCCTACAACCCTGTTACCGGCGGAGAGAATAAGTCGATCCCTGAGCCTAAGCAAACGCGTACTTCAACGCTCAGCAATACTGATAACAAGCTTCTGTCTACTGCCCTGGCTGTTCCCTTTCAAACACAGGCGGAATTCTCGGCTGCGTCGTGCCAGAGGGGATTCATCGGGGGCCGTAACCTTTTGGACACCGTCGCGGAGCTTGAACCTTGGGTGATTGAATGGGCCTGCTACCGTGGTTATCCGTTTCCTGGCGTGCTCTTTCTGGACATCGTTTCGGCCTTCCCGAGCGCCCTTCATGGGTGGATATTTCGGGTCCTTAAGGGCCTAGGAGTGCCCGCCAACATCGTGCAGGCCGTGCGCGTGATGTACAACAACGTTTACGTGTCCGTGGCTTTTTGTGGCTCGGTATTTCCTGGCTTCCACATTGCCCGAGGATTGAGCAAGGATGCCCACTCTCTTCTTTCATATTCGTGGTAATATTCGATCGAGTCGTGCGTGGTCTTCGCCGCCGTCTCGAAGGTCACCCTGCTCGCCCTCTTGCGTGTGCTGATGAGGTTGGCATTGGCACAGGTGATCTCTCGAAGTCCATTCCCGTCGTCCTGGAGTGGATGCAAATCACCAGCAGAGTCACGGGCCTTCAGCTTAATACTAGCAAGTGTTGGCTCGTCATTGCCAAAGATGTTGATGTCGATGCGGCTGTTCGTGAGTTGACAGATATTGGCATTCCCACGCTATCTCTTCGAGTTGGCCGCAACGCCAAATACCTTGGAGTGTATCTCGGGCGTGGTGGCAGAGACGAGCCCTTGCGTGCGCCGTGTCAACGGCTTTTCGAACGCGTTGCTGCCATCGTGCGCTGCGTATCGCGTTTGTGCAAAATATCAGGGCCTACAATGCGATGGCGCAGCCGGTGTTATCGCACGCCGCACAGTTCTATTCGATGAATGAGCGAGTCGCCACGACCGAGCATGCTGCACTTAAATGTTTGACGGCAGCGCCCAGACATTCCGTCGCCACTCCGGTGCTGAAGAACCTTGATTAGCTGGGCGTCGATGCAGTTCCCCGAGATTTGAATAGCGAAAATCAGGCTGCTCTTTATCGGGCCGCGGTTCGTAGCTCTGTATTCTCTGACATATCTGTGCGTTTTCACTGCATTGAGCATTATGATGTTGACGTTCTGGCTATCCCTCGTATGTCTGAGTGGAGGAAGCATTCCATCACTTTCACTTGGCTCGAGAATTATCGCAGGCTGACCGCCATTGCCCCCCATCTTGCTGACGAAGATGTTTCTGAGGTTCAGAAGAGAATTTACAGGGCCGTGAGGCTCCAGGCCACGAGAAGCCCCTGCACCCCGCTCGTGTCTCAGCTCCTGGGGCGACGCATCCAGTACTTTTGGCCCGATGTTCCCCCTGGGGTTCCTGGCGCTGTTGTTCCCCGCGCTAACATTCTTGTCTCCCGTGCTGGCCCGTATGCGGCCGTCTCCTTTATCAAGACTATCTGTAACGCGTGGCCTACTACAAGGAGACTCCGTCAAGGGGCCCTGACATGTCGGTTTGGGCGCAAGGTATTTTTCGGAGGTGCTGTTGATCACTGCCTTCATTGTCCTGCTGCTCTGAGTGTCCTTCCTAGTGCGCTGCCGAATTTGCCTCCAGATTACTGCGCAAGAGCTAGATTTGAAAATGTGTTTTGTGTTTTTTGGGACCCCCCTGACCAGTCAAGGCCTCATGTCT